CGCCTGAGATGCCCATCGCAGCAGTCCGACCCAGCAGCCGGCTCCGAAGTGGATGACGAAGCGCAATTTGCGCTTAGGACGTGACGGCCGGCCCGCTGCCCGAGTCCCTGGCGTTGATCGATATATATGAACAGGGCTCGCCATCAATTCAAGTAGCGGGAGTAGTGCCTCTGCTCGTTGCTTCTCTGGTGACGCAGCCCGCAGACGCTGATCATCTGCGGGCAAGCAGTGAGCACAGCGGCCTAGGGGGGAAGAGAAGAGCTTTGCACAGAGCGTGCGAATAGGGAGCCCGGGCGTGCCTGTTAAAAGCTGCTCCGCGTCCCACGCACCCCGTTCTCCGGTCTCACATTCTGATTCTGCTTGCATCCCGCAGAGTCGCTGGTGGATTGCATGGGTCTGCGCGATGGAAACGATCTGCTATCAATTACATCGAGCAACTCGCTTTGTTTGCACGCGCAGACCTCGCCGCTTGCTGAAGCAGTCTACGTCGACGCTTCGTGTGGAGCTCTTGATTCCACACTGGTAGTCACGAGTTGCATCTTCAATTTGAGCAGTCATGATCTTGACGCTTGCATGCGCGGCGTGACCCTTGTCGGTGTCGACACGATCGCAGCGTAATCTAGGCCTACCGCGCAGTCAGAAAGCAGTCGTGGAAAAGGGTCATCCACGTCGGTCGCCGCAACCGGATGCATCTTTTGCGCAGAGGCCTGCGCACCACCCACAGCTCGTTTTTGGGACACGCTTGACCCTTCGACGAACATTGCGATGTGAATCACACAACACATGGTGCGTGCTTGGCTTGAGCCTGGCGTTGTAGAGCACAAGTCTAGAGGAAGAGCGTCATGGCGGACTCCGGTACCGCACCCAACCGTGCGAGCAGTCCGCCAACGGCATTAAAGCTGTGCGCGAGCTATGAACCTGACCCTGCGCGACACTCTCCGCTCTCGGCCCTTTCATGCAGCTGTCCGGCTGCACCTCGGGGTCAGCATGAGCAAAGGTACAGTAGTAGCGTCTGCATTGGCCCGAGAGTAGACTGCCGCATCACCTTGCAGGTGGTTCTACCCGCCACACTAGACCTGTCGAGCACGATCTTGAGGTTCCGTTCCGCTGGGTTCCAGTGTTGCAAGTTCCCAGCAGCAGAGTCCGCGGAGAATTCTCATGTCCGAGTGCCGAAGCTTGCTACGTAGTTCGCTCAGGGTAAATTCAGAAGCGGCAGCGGGTTGGGCGGAGCGCGCTGGAGAGCTGCTGCAGTCGTGAGTCGCGAGTACGTGCGAACCCAGTTCCTGGCTGGACATATAGAGAAAGCCGCGTGGTTTAAAGAGTAGCAAGGGTCGCAATTTGCAATATCGTCGTTAGCTCACCACACCAATCTGCAAAGGGCCCGCGCCCGTGCGGGCATGAAAGCTTCTCGCTAAAGAGCAGGCGACGGTGCAGCGTGGAATCATGAATGCTGGCGACAAAGCTTGGATATTCCATTCACATGATCGATGCGAGTGGAATCATCGATGCGAAAGGAATGATCGATGCCTCGCTTCGCCTCGCTTCGCCCGGATGATCGCCAGCGCACCGCAAGGCGCTGCTAGACTAGTGAAGGCCTCGACCCGAGCGTTGCGTCTCCCACACACGGCTGTCGGGCCATGCAGCTCCGATAGCTCAGGAGGACAGGGATTTTGTGAGTTTGGCGATTGTGTCAACAGTGAAGGGGCTCTGGACGTCTCTTCAGCCAAGGCTCGAGGACTTCCTTTGCAAGCGGCGATATCAAATACTTCATATTAGGAAGTACAATCGTGAGTCAGAATAGAGACCAACGAGGCTCGCGAGAGCCTACCACGGCGCCCCGTGCCGGATGCGAGATAGGCAGACTCTTACCGAGGATTGCCGTCGCAGCAAGTTTTGGATGCTGGGTACTCCCAGTCGTGTAGCAGGGCGAACGACTACGTCCGCAAGGGTCGTCCCGCGATTTGCTAGGACGCTTTGGCGCCCGCGTGGCCAGCCACTGTCGCACTCTTGCCACCGGCGTTGACCTGGAATTGGGACCGCCTCGGCTCCTCTGCTGCCAACGCTCTAGAGGGTCTGCGTTCCGAAGTCGCGTCCGGAAAGTTGCCCTGGCTGTGAACCATCGCTAGCATTCTCAATTTCATACGTCGACGAATGTGACTTCTTCGAATGCTGCACCTAGCGTCCTGATCAAGTTAGCAGCACGCCGCGAGCCGTAATGCGGATTCTAATTGCACGAGCTGACGAAAAGCATACACGATTCGTGATTCAGGAACAGCAACGCGAGAGCACCAAGGATGTTTGTCGAGCAAAATTTGGTGGAGCTGGGTGTGGACCGTCATCACTCGTGATTCTTCACATGTCCATTGTTCCACCGTTTTCGACCCCGACAATGGTGAACCCACCACTCTGATTGAGTCTTCACTCTATTTTGCAAATTCTTCGCTCTTTCAAATGTTGTGTGCTTTTGTCTTGCCTCATCGTAGCCCGCGCTCGCTTGAAAGACGCTTAGAAGCGAGGTATCCTGCCTTTGAATCGCTCACTCGCTAACAGCAGCCTAACATGGGACTCGCATTCTGTACCCACCCGTGAGGATGCCTCCGAGCTTGATTAAAGTCGCTGTCAGGGCATGCAATATATCGACGTTGCGGTGCGAGCGGGACACGCAATTGTGTCGAGTTTTCATGCCGCACTATCCATGTACGCGTATCGGCATTGATAGTCTGGCGCAAAGCTCAGCTCGCAAGGAGGATATTTCGGCAGATAATTTGAATGACGAGCGTGGAATCACGCTATGATTGGAGGAGGCTGTCTCGCTTTGAAAGAGCCTCTGCAGCTTTAGAGTCCCGCGAGGGAAGTATCCCACCAACCACTCTTTGAGTCTCCGCCACTCTTAGCGCGACATCGAAAGTCAGCCAGCATCAGCTCGCAAGTGGCGAATTACGAATTACGAGTAACGCAACGGCTCCCAAAGTACGTGAGCTAGACGCTCCCATCGTGGATTCGATCGAGAGAAGTCGTGAAGCAGGTGCAGTTGGTCACTCCGTCTGCCGCAATTTGACACTCAGGTCTTCGTGGGAGCCAAGGTACTCTCCAGGCTTGTTTCCCTTGCTCACATCCACTCACACTACTCGTGACTTGCTGTACCGCGTCACAACGAAACGCAGCCGTTGCCACGCATGCTTCATCCATCCGCTCTGCGCACGAGCGTGGGACCTCCCCGAGATGCAGCTCTGCCCAACGGCCTGCATGGGCCTCGATCTCCTCGAGCTATTTTTGTCCACTCGCCGCTCGAGACTTGCTCAGCAATCACGGGCCGTCACGGCTTGTTTTACGACGCGCGGTACTGATAACGAATTAATCAGGAGTATGCAGCGGCTCATGACTTTGCGAGAAAGCTCTCTGACTGCCGAGAGGGCGAAAGCGAAAGCGAGGTCATCAGAAAGTCCGACTGGGTGGTGATCTAAATATTGTGTTCGTTCTTCAGCGAGGTCTGCGCGCTGAGACACCCTTGGACCTTCGCGCCTCCTATACCCGTGCACAACGAAACCAATGGAGCGTGCGGTAGTCGCGCAGAGTAGTGCTGTACCGGTACACTCACGTACGATTCGTGTCACTGTACCGTCTTGCCGCGGGTAGAGCGCGGGATGATGAATAAGCTTGCACCTCTCTGCCTTGATGGTCGACTGATGGTGCCTGACTCCAAGCCTATCGCCATGCATGGCACTTCGAGATGCGTGGCTTACAGCCAGCCATACATGCAGGCAAGTGTGGGTGCTCCTTTGCAGCCTGCACTTCGCACCTGCTGTCCCCACTTGGACGGGCAGGTGGGCGTCGGGCAGGCTCGTCGGAAGAATTCACCGTGGCGCGCACGCAGCCAGCAACACCACTCACGACTCACGACTCTGGTTGCAATTGGATGAATGGCTGGCGCAACACCCGTCCAGCAGCACCGCGAACCGTACTGACTCGGTCAGTCGGCCTCAGTGCGAATCCGAATCACGGATGCACTTTGGCAAACACGAGACGAAACACTTACACTGGCGCACAGGACTGACCTGTGCCTCACAGGGCGCGACACGAACGTCACGGAGATCAATCGCTCAGCAGCCTAACTGATAGGGTCACCGACCGTTCATCGGTGATCAGTCGGGGTGGCCGGCGGCGGCGGTGCTGTTGGGGGGAGGCTGTGCACCGGGCTAGACCCTGCAATGGCAGCTCTTGCATTCGTTTAAAGACCTTGCCTGGTGATCTCAAGATCTTGCACGCTTCTTGAGGTTCTATAGCTCATGACTGCGAATATGTCGAGCCGACGTGCCTCCAGACAGACCTCGAAGTGCATATCAGCATGAGATTCTCACACCTTTCCACTATTGCTTTCGCGTTGCTGGCCCGGACCAGCCTTGCTGCTCCATATGGCGGAACTGCGGACAAAGTGGCACAGGCAGCAGTCTCGTGCGTTGCAGTCCTGCTTTCGGGTGACACGATGCTGGCCCCGACCCCAGGAGTGGTAGCTGACCTATAAGTTTCCTTCTCAAAGCGCTAGCGAGCATGCCCGCAACGAGTTTGTGAGTCAAGGCAGTCTCGTTGCAGGATTTCCGAGCAGCAGCCAAGGGATGAAGAAGCTGACTCATCTGGCCAGGATCTTGGCTACATACCGACGTGCCTTAGCTGTCTGGTGGCCCTGGGCGCATCTTCTGGACAGACAGTTCGGGCCAAACGCATCACATTTATCATGCAACGTGGGGACATTTTCAAATGATGCATGGCAGAGAGGGTCTCACACCGGTCACTGAACGGCTCTGGAACGAAATCGTGAGTAAAGCGTGCTTCTACTGCTTGGCAGACCAAGAAGAAAAGCGTTCTGGAGCGTCAGCATCACCCTTGGCCCCGCAGATACAACACGCTCGTGACAATCAGCTCATTGCCGAAGGCGTGACTGCCGGAGGAAATCGGCTGAGATACCAGAATGGATCATGGAGACCGGCGCCACCTTCATTTGCCGATCAGAGTCGTGAGCGTGGACAGTCCTCGCGAGGGCCACGCACCTGATTCGAGGCTTGTAATCGCGTCGGCGCCTTGTTTTCCTACGAAGAGTCGCGAGCTTGGACTTATGAAGAAAGACAACACAAGTGTTGGTATACATGAGTATGAGGCTGAAATATTGTTGGCGACACCGCACAGAAAACAGCAATGACAGCGGCGTATGGCACTTTTGGGCGTATGCTTCCGGGACTGTACTTACGTCGCGTGCTTTGTTTGAGTCTCACAACTTTCGGGTGCCAATGCGGTTGCGGATGCGTTCAAGAGGTGGCAAATGGGTAATCCCGTGCTGTTTGGTGGTGGAAAGTTTTGTGAGACCATATCCATCACTTGCCACACAGCTTGCGCGTGGCACGCACCACTGCGATTTGAGTCGAGAAAGCGACCGCATGAGCATTCTGGCCAAGCGCTTGCCACAAAGCTAAAGCCGAGCCTACAAATATCCGTGCCGTGCGCCGACTGCCTTCGAGGTAGCACGTCACTTCAGCCAAATGTGGTGCAAGACTGTAGCTTCGAGCACAGGTGCGACCACTTGACGCAGACTTTTCAGCATTGACTACACCTTGATTTGCCTTGACAGGTAGCTCGATCATGCGCTCCGCAGTGGCAACAGCGGCGCTGTTCTTTGCGCTTGATCTCTCGATCGCCGCTCGTCCGTCTGGCAGCGAAGTACCAGACTTGTCTCTTGCTCCGCCTCCTGCGCCAGCACGGTGAGTCGGACCAAATCCAAAGGAAGCGTTTCGCAAGTCGAGAATTGAGCAGACTTCGAACCGAAACGCCTCGGCCTAGCATTCCTCATGTCCCGATGGTGAGGATCCATCCAAGCCACTCTTCTTGAGCGCTGTAGCTTCCACTCACACCCCATCACGTTCTGCACACCAGCTCTTCGGCTCGCCAAAAGCGATCTACTGGTGGGACAAGAATGCCCAGAACGTGCACACCTATCGTGCAGACTCGGGGGGGCACTTTGTGAGATTGCACGGAGAGAACAAGATTGTGGCTGGTACGGAAGAGGTGTGGCGAGAGGTTGTGAGTACTCGCTCGACGCGCTACTGTCGAACCCGAATGACTCACTGTTCGTGCAGCCACTCCTTGCGCCCCCCCCC